GTAGTACAACAAAATAAATTGAATACATTGTCCGGAAACTTTATTGTTCAGTTCATAATGTTTTGAGACTTGTTAATTAACAACATTTCCTCTTTATGTTGATACAAATGTAATCTGTGCTGCATTATGTTTCCCTGAAACTGTATTTACAGTTGCAAATTGGACAAAAAGCAATGAAAGACTTGTGTATATCAGCCTTAAATTGTGCAGAGAAGTATGTGGCTTCTTAACTTTTAAACTTAAAATAAAATAAATGTAACAGTGCTTACTGTAGGTGCAAATGTGGCCAAGATGGTTGAGAAAAACAGATATGACTAAAAGTATGAGTGGTGCTGTTTATTAATTTTATCATACAGAATACCCTCGCACTTGCATCCCAGGATGTCCTCCTTCTTTAAACCAGGTGGCTTTGGATCAGAGTATCAGCTAATTCTCAGTCAAACTAAATGTTTTGCTGTGCCGCATCAAAACAGCAAACTTCTGAGATATCTCTAAGCAGAGTGCAGAAACAGAGAAATTATTTCTTTAACCTTTGTTCTGCCTTAGTCTGAATTAACAACATAAACTGCTCGGAGTGAGTGATTGTAAAAGCCACAGGATCAAGATGTGGGAAGTTAGTCTCTGTCGTCATACAGTCGTACAAAAGTTTGGACAACATCACTGACATTTTTTTGTGAGAAAGCCTCCTTGTTATGTTTACACAGGAGTTCTTAATTGTACAGTTGGATGAATGTGCACTAAGATGAGGAATGTGAATTTGAGACCTCCTGACAATATGAGCTAACAAAAGCTATTAGCCTTGGAATTTACACTGATGGTCTGTTGGGAGGGTTGGCAAACATTTACCATTGATATTGTTTCAATTTCTCAGATTAATTTTTCCATTTAGATATTTTGTGTGTGTATAAATAACAACATAACCTAAACTGTTTTGCTCACAAGCCACACGGTACTGACTGTGCTCTCTGTATGGGAGAATGGAGTGTGCTGAGTGCAGTGAAGTGCAGCTCAAACAGACAGACAGCCCGGCTGGAGATGAAACTGCTGTTTGGTTGGGATTATTGATCACATTAATATGCAGTGATTATTTTCTCAGGGTGAATTTGTTGTCTAAATACTGGTTTGAAGTTGTGTAATTAAAAAAGAAGCTTTGAAGAAAACAGCAGTAAAGAGATTTGACATTTTAGGAAACATATTTTTGAAAACAGCTCTGTTTGTTACTCAGCACTTCAATAGATGACATTTCAAAATGAATTATGGTTTTAAACTGCTGTTGAATGTTTATTTGTACCATAACCACCATGTAGCAGTGTAACAAAACAGAAAGTAAAAACAGACAGGAGAACAACAATACAGGTTTTTTTTTACTAAAAAATGAAGCAATTTTATTTTGAAAGAAAAGTCACTTAACAGCAGAGCTCATGCATTCCCAGTGATTGTGTCATCACAACTCATTCAATAAAGTTTTGCTCATTGTGCACGCAGTTAGCTTCATTTCCATATTGCTCACAAAAAAGAATCATCATTCATTGATCAGCAAGTTTGTTCTCTCTTAAGAGACACGTGCATCAGCTTTTATATAAGCAACTGTATAAGCAACGTGATTCTAGTTTGAAAAAACTATTAGCTAATTTTATGTCTTAAGCATATAATTTATATTGTTATCTACAATACTAGGGTGAAAATTCACAGCAAGAAGACCAGGCGTTATACTGTACATGTAATTAACACTAGCTGTATAAAACAATATACAGATTCTAGCAGAAGTACTGCTTTGTTTGCAGTGTGTTCCCCAGTAACAGCGCTGTCATGTTGCTAAATTGTGGGTTTTTGTTTCTCTTTAAAAAAGATTCAGAATGCAAGTTGGAAATTAGATACATTTCAAGTCATTAAAAGTGCAGAGATATTAATAATAGCTCTGTTCTAGTCCAGTTGTTCCAGTAAAGAGCAACACCATGACCCTGAAACCCAGAAAACTAAAGCAGCTAAATGGAATTCAACCATAATTAACTTCATTATTTATACCTCTTTTCCGTGTAAAAGGCCTAATCATAAATTTCAACAGGTTAATGATTTATTATCTCTTCAATACCACTGGCTACAAAAAACTACTTACTTTAAATTAAGCCATTATTGACACAGACAGTTTTTATGAACTTCTCTGTTTATTTTACTGTGTTTAAAATGAGAGTAAACTTTGACTTGGCAGCTGTTCCCAGTTTTTGAATGGATCCTTCCAGCTGAGCGAGAGAGGGAGTGAACAGAAACAAAGCTCTGGTCAGAAATGCTGTGAGTCCACTGGATGGAGCTGCAATGACAGTCGGCACTGGAGCCAGAGCCAGACAGACACCCAAAGCAGATCATGTTAACACAGCACCTGTGCAGATATTCTACATACATCTGTCATTAAATAGTGTAAAAGTAAAATAAATAAACCACAATGTGTGCATGCAACAAATGAGAAAATGGAATGGTTGTTGATAAAAGGCAGCAATGGAATGTGACCCGTCAGGCTGGTATTTAAAATCGCATCTTTTGAAATGAGATTTTCTATCTCAAGTATTTAAAGATGAAGCTGATATTTTCAGTAATGACCCCAAATTGATGGGACATTACACTGCAATAGGACAGAAAATATTTTTTTATTACATAACTTACATTACATCAACACAAGGCTAATGCATGAATTGAAAACAAACAGCTAATGAGTCTAACATAAACGGCTGAACGGAATGTGAACCTAATGCTCCGCTATTTTTCTCTTTTCAAAGTTTCAGTTCTTTTCACTTTCCAAATCCACAAAAAAAGAAGAAGAGGACTAAGTGTTGACCCAGGCTTAAAATGTTGATTTTAATATAGTTTTGCACTGTTGATGACTCGAGATACATTTATGTGCATTAGCCGACAAAGCAAACCCAAGTCTAGCCCAAACAAACTGGGATGAAAGGCGGCCTTTGATCCGAGGCCGGCCGTAGTGACTTCAGCGCGATTGTTTTCAACTAAGGTTTCTCAGGGTATCTTCACTTCAAGCTACAACTGAAACTGTCAGAACAGGATTTACTCGAGATTTAAGAACCACAAAGTTGGTTCACCAAAAAAAAAAGTCACAGCTAAACCAAATAGACTGTTTTCAGAGTTGTTGCAAGTAGCCCCTTGAGACCCTGTGTAAAACTCCAACTTCATGTCTTTGTGCTCAGTTTTCTCAGGCCTGCCATTTCACACCACTTCCAACTTTATGCTGAGGATACAACAGCTCACATTCCCACTGATCATAGTTGTGTGTGACATTTCAAAGAGGATTACAAAAATGAAATGTGATTAAAAACTATTTTCACGTGAACCCTGTGCACGTGACCTTTGGTAGGCTAGCACAGTGTGTAGGACCAGGGCTCAGACTTCTGGGACACGCACGTTAAGTAGACTGTGCTTGTGCAAAGCACACGGCCTGAGACGTGGGCAGCGAGATATGAAAAGAAGGGAATGATGGGCTGCAATATGTTTTAGGGAATTTGAGCACAGTTCACCAGAGGATCGAAGGAAAGCTTCCTTATCCGTCTTTACAAACACATTCAGACCCAAGAAAAAGCAAAAGCTCAGCAACAGTAAACCAAAGTGTAAATTTAATACTCAGCACAGCCATCCACTAAATATCACACTCACACACACTGCTCTCCCCTAGTAATATATTATTGTGTATTTGTTACCTGTGGCCATCATAAATACCTTTATGTGCTTGAACATGTTGACAAAGCAGCCGTGGCTCATTGCTGGTTGATGGATGGCTGTGTGTGCCTTGCTAATTATTAGTACACATAAAGGATGCTGTTATTTCCAGAGCTGCCCCAGCAGGCCCCAGCCAGAGGGGTCACTGGGTAAGTACGGAGCCATCAGTCTGCGACCTTATCACTCAATCTTGATGTATGACTAAAGAGGTACAAATTAAACACGCAGCAACCTTCTAAGGGGTACTGCACTCAACGGGACACCATTTGGGCTAATTCCTGCATGAGGTTCAGACAATAGGCCACTATACCACATGGTGTAATTACTTTGTGTACACACATCTGGAATTAAGCTCCCAGAGGAAGGTAATACACTTGAAGAAAACAGAGGCCAACCATTTTAGATGTGCAAAGTTTAGCATGTGAGTAGAACAAGTGGAAGGAGCATGCAGGTGTGTTTGTGCCTGTGTCTGTGTGCTGGTGGGGGGTTGACTTCAAACGCAGATGCTGATGAACATACACCAGCTCTTGACCTTCTCACGTCATCAAAGTTAATCACTGCTGCTGAAACCGGGAGAAAAGTTCCTCTTGGAGCAGTGAGCACAAAGCAGATTACATGCTATAGCTACACTATCCCTCAAATCTCTTGCTTGCCTTCTATTTTCCCTCAACACTTATTGGCTTCCCGCTCGGGTTACAGCCATCTTGCTTCTATTTGACGAAGCTACAGCCCCACTTTCCATACCAATACTACCTATGTCATTTTGACAAACACAGGCGGAGAGCTGTACCCCATTGCAGTCTCCAGATTCGGGTTGCATCTGGATTTTATAGTAGCTCAATTTTCTGTGCTGGTGCTCAGCTCAGATTGGATGTGATGAGCTCGGCTGGCTAACACCGAGTCTGTGTGAATGTCAACTCCAGACTGATATTGATATTGATCCACAGGTTGAGACATTTGCAGCGCATCAACCACAATAAGGTGTGATAGCATGACTCTGCATCA